TTCATTTCGTCCATACAAGTAATTATGTTTTTTGACGCTCCGTTATTTAAATCGGACTGCTCCGTTATCTCAAAAACTGAAATACTATCTCCGAAACCACTTTGTGCCCCGTATCTCCGAAACCAAACCTGCCTCTGCCAAAAACTAATTAGTACCTCTCCTTATCAATAAGAATAGAATGTTTTTTGAACTATTCAAATCGGTTGATCCGTGTTTGCTTTGCCAAAAACCAATCAGCACGTCTCCTTATCAGTAGGAATCAAATGTTTTTTGAACTATTCAAATTGGTTGATCCGTGTTTGCGATATCGTCGACGAAAATTTGTATCCGCACACACACACACGCATACAAACACACACATATATCCATTTTTTGTAAGTATGGTATGCCAAAATGTTCCAAAACCTCTGAGACGTAAAGATATATAAAAAATTTCATTTTCGATTTTTTTGCGATTACTGTAACTTACCCCACGGGAAGAAAAATAGGTCAAAAAAATTTCTTCAGTGCTTGTCGAGGAAAACACTATCAAAACACAAGTGTTTTCAAGTAGATTCAGAAATAAAATATTTATACAAGGTTGTAGGGTGTAGGGATACTGATAAGTTCAGTGATTGCAATGATATGAAAAGTGAATTATTATTCTCATAATGCACAAAACTAGTCAAAATACTAGATCACGTTATTGTAGAATATTATAATTTTTTTTTCGAAATTATTAAAATATTAAAAAATTGAATTAAACACTCATAGATGTTCGCGAAACACAAAAAAGTCTTGCCTCTGGGCGTATTGTGGGTGGTGAAGCTGTGAGCATTGAAGACTATGGATGGCAAGTTTCTCTACAACGTTTTGGCAGTCATTTCTGTGGAGGATCTATAATATCCAGTAGATGGATTCTTTCAGCTGCTCATTGCTTTTATGGGTACAAGTTCATTTGTTTTACTTTCATAAGCAATCTTTATTAATTTACTGCTATAATTAAATATTAGAACGTTATTTCCGATTGGATTCTCTGCGAGAGCCGGCAGCAGTACTGTGAATTCAGGAGGAACTGTGCATACAATTTTGTATTGGTATATTCATCCAAATTATGATTCACAAAGTACAGACTTTGATGTTTCTGTAGTTCGACTATTATCTTCTTTAAATTTGAATGGAGGTTCTATTCGACCGGCTAGGTTAGTGGATTCTGGAACTGATTTGCCAGCCGGTGAGATGGTTACAGTAACTGGATGGGGACGACTTTCGGTAAGAATATTTTTTCAAGTACATGACCTAATATTTATTCTTCTTAATAATATAGGGTGAAGTCCCCAAGTGGCGGTCACCTAAGGTTATTTATAAATAAATCAAAAAATGTTTTAAGAGATGTTTATTAAATTATGATTTACGTTAGATAACAAAGTTAGAAATCAAACTAAATTAACAAAACCGCAAAAATTGCTAAAAATAATTAATACTATCAATCAAACTTTGCTATCAAAAATGATTTTGAACAGTGGCACTTAGTACCAGACATTTCAAAATAACCTGCATTGATTACATATGTAGCCATCTCCACACTTTGAAATGTCTGCACATGTGTCTTTGACGAATATTCTTAGATATTGTAAAAAAAGTCACTATTCATCCAACCTTTTGGCTGGGCCACACTGATGCTCTCAGCTGGTGCATTCACAATAAGCTTTTCATTCTTTGACTAGGAAATACGAAGAATGGGGGTATGTAGTAACCGTTAGCACTCATACAGAACAAAATTGAATAATTGGAATAAATTACGTAAATTCTCACAAGAAATATCAATACGTTTACTGTCCGGCACTAAGGCACGACTTAGTGTCCGGTGCTTATGGACAGACATTTTCGTTCATTTGATGGCACCTACTAAAATTGGTTAAAAAATCTAATGATATTCTACCATTTTACGGATAACAATCAAATACAACTTTTATCTTTGCATACCACTCAAATGTAAAAAAACGTATATTTATATGCTAAAATTACTTCCATCGATATTTAGGTGACGCCGTGATTTTGCGACTAAAACAGCAAAGGGTTGCTACCGCCGTGGCCGTCTGCGTCACAGTTGAGTCTTGGCGCGTAATCCTGCACCTGTGTGCCCCCCGCGCCCCTTTCACTTGTATTTTGAAATAAAAAGATTTATACTCGCTTAAATAATACGAGTTAAATAGAGTGTCCGTCCTTGTTGCCGTCCGGCGTTACGGGACTTCCCCCTACTCACATGAAAATAGAAAACAACTCAAAGTTAAACTTTTTAAAAATATAACAATTGTAAAAGAGTAATTTGAACGTTTAGATACTCATTTATAAATTTTATAGCTCAATAAAAAATGATAAAAGTGTAAGTCTAATTAAGAATATGTGCTCGAAAAAATAAGGCATATATAATAGTTTTATTGTAACAATTTATATGCCAGTTTTGAGAAAATTACTTTAAAATAATCAAAAATAGAAACCACAATTAAAAATAGTTTTTTTTATATAGTGAACTTTTTAGCATTCAAATATTTTTACGATATTACGTAAAATATCATTTCAAATAGCTTATTTATTTAAGAACAATTAAAATATTTTTTTTTTCTTATTGAATAAGTTATTCTATTTTTCATGGGCAACTAGGTAATATGCATATATTAACTAGAAGGACTTTAAAGAAAATTGCTGCATATATTATATAAACAATTACTTTCAAAATAGGTAGCATTTAAATTCTGTACATTCTTAACAATGAGTAAATCTTTTTTTGTCTTTATAAAATATCGATAATTAACAAATAATATTGTTTCTCTTATTATTAGGAAAATACTTCTGTTCCCTCGCCATCAACTCTTCAAGGAGTTACAGTACCAGTTGTAAGTAATTCGGAATGTCAACAACAATTGCAAAATCAGACAATCACTGACAAGTAAGTCCCTATTAATTAATATAAAATACAACTAAAATGAAGCAATTTCAATTATTCAGAGAATAAAATATTGAGAAAATTGTCACACTTATAAAGAATCAGATTTTAGTTCTTTGGCATTTCCTATTGTATACTCTCTGATTTCAAATAAAAGAATAAGGGCATATTGAATTTATTACATCTATGTTTTCAGTATGTTTTGTGCTGGTGAATTAGAAGGAGGAAAGGACTCTTGTCAAGGAGACAGTGGTGGTCCCATGGTTGACAGCGAGGATACTCAAGTAGGAATTGTATCCTGGGGAATAGGATGTGCTAGACCCAATTTACCAGGAGTTTATACGCGAATTGCTTCATCGCCAATTAGAGATTTCATAAGACGAATAACCGGAGTTTAATATTATTTTATACATTTTTGACAAATATGAGAACTAATGAGAACTGTTGTATTGCTATAATTCTTTGCAACATTGTGCATGAATAAATTATAAATGTAATTGTTAACATGTTGTATCAATACAAGATCATTCCACATTAAATTAAATTAACGGAATATTAATTAAAAAATATCTGATTATAGACAGTTTGCTAAATTGCAGTTTTAATAATTATGACTTATAAAAGCAGATCAATTATTATCAATTTCAATCAAATCAATTTTCAATTATTGTACAATCAAAAATTTAGAAAAATGGGTTCACTATTAATTGTACGTAGAATAAAAATAGGCGTTTGATGAATTTAATGAAAGTATGAAAAAGTAAATTAAAATATATCGTATCTTTAGAAAACGTTTCATTATTTATTATTTTTATGTATATGAATACTTAGAAATTCATTAAAAAGAGTGCGCGTAAGATTCACACGCGTTTGAAGTTATAGTTTTTTGCTATTGTACGAAATGGGATTTAATTTTGAACAATGTTTATTAGTAATATGATAACACTCGTGATGCACACATTTGTCAACCTTTGTCAAATAAATTATATATTTATAATACTATTAAAATATTTATAATGTTTGAAAATATTAATGTAATTAATGTCACACTTCAGACATAATCGGTTTGTCATTGTAATTAGCATTATAACTTGAACCTTTATTAGAAAAATTGCTGATTGATAAATTCTATAACATTCGTTCACACAGTAAACTTGAATAATCTTAAATGATTTCATTAACACTATCAAGAAATAAATTGCATAGATGTCCATTATGAAGACACAAACTACTGTTGTGCATGATTTCTTGTTTAGTGTAATAATATGAAATCAATTTATTCTTCATTATTTATAAAAATATGCAACTATGTAATACTTAATAGCCAACATGATTGAAAAACATATTATTTTCCTCTAACTTCCAAAAGTGTCAGATATAATTCTAAAAAGATTCAATATTTTTTATTATCTATACAAATGCAGTGAATTATTATGTTAAACAAAGCCTAAAGAAATATTGTTTTTACAATTTCACTTGTCATGTAATTGTGTTTGAAGAGCTTCATGTAATGAATATTAACATACATTCAGTAACTGCTTGTTTTTTTTTACTATTTCGCTGGCGATACAGTCTCATTTTTCGAGCAGCTTTTGCTATAAAAATAATTTTCATTTTAATAACCTCAAAAATATATAGTAACCACGAGTAATACAAATTACTTCAATAAACTTACGTTTCTTACACGTCAGATTTTTCATTCGTTTTATTATTTTCACTATAATTATTTATGCGGGACGGAATAAAATATTCTTCCGATCCATACATTTTTTAATAACTCAAATCTTGTACTACTATTTAACCTTAAAATGCAATGACATGAAACACCAAAAAATGAACAATATGCTTCACGCTTTCGGTGACGTACGCATACAAAAAAGCTTCGCACATGATACGACGACCAATCACAATCGACCCGTATAGAAATGATATCATCGAGAGTGAATGACGAATCATTGGCACTCGACTCGAAAAATGATCATTCGACAAATGCACATCAAATTATCAGATATTTTATAAAGATTTTCATAATGTGTAAACATTTTGTGTAAAATTTTTTGGGTTCCTTATCAAGATTTTTAGTTACTGCACGGAAAGTATCAGCAATTTGCCTTAAGGCACGATGACATGCACCACTATAGTTTATCATTTAATTATGTATTACTTGATTGATGCTATATGTACCTATGCCTAAATAATAATATTAAGATTACACAAAGAAAACCCGTTGTTTTTGTTTCCTTGACAAAATAGAAATATATTTCTATTTTCTAAATGAAAATAGCTATTTGGATTGCAAAAAAGGCAAAATATTATTGGCATTAAGAAAAAGGACAACTATCGGATTGTCTTCTAAAGCATTAGTACCAAAAACTTTTGGTTTGTCTTGTAATAGCCATTAGTAAATAACAGTACAAGTAATAGAGATTACAGAATTTCAGAAACCAATATATATATATATATATATATATATTAACAAAGTCTAATAATCGGGCATAACATCAATAAAAAACATGAATTTCTTTCAAAAATTTATTTTAAATCCATACGTTTCGGCTACAATCCTAGCCTTCATTCAGTGGAAACTAAAAATAAAATTAAAAACTAAAACAATTGAATTGGAGTGAAAAGAAAAAATAAAATAGTAATTAGTACTTACAATTAGTAGATCTTAGTGTTAAATTGGAAAATTTTAATAATCCATGGTATTAGGATATGGTAATGCACTACACTATGTATTATAAACATTAACTTGAAATTACACAAATATTTTTGATACACCTGTTGATTGTGAGTGTAATGTATTTTAAACTAACTTTTTGTAAACTATTGTATTGGGAACTATTACTAATGAATTGGAATTTTTTAATGTCTATTTCGTAAAATTTAGGAACAATTTTTTCTTTGCGACATCTTAATAAAAACACTTGTTTGTTGAAATTTATGATAAGTTTGGAATTGAGCTTAGAAATTTTTTTAAATTGTGAAAAAATGTAGAACCCGTAATTGCGCCTAATAAATTCAAAAAATGACAGGTTGTGATCTGCAAAATGATTTTGCTTTCCTTGTAACCTCCAAATGTTGTGCTGTAGAGTGACCATTTTCCTATTATAATGACGTAGTGGGTTCCATGGATAATAATTGTGTAGTTGGAATTTAGTATTTTATCTTGTATAAAGTACTGAGAGTAATGAATCCTTTTTTCAGCCCAGGAAAAATATTTTGTATGATTCTGAATTTGATGTTGACATATGTATTAACAAAGTCTAATAATCGGGCATAACATCAATAAAAAACATGAAATAACCCTAGTAGAAATGTATCGTGGCTAGAGGGGTAAAATATCGTGGCGCAATATTCGAATCTTGTCTTTAGATGGACCGGGCAATATTTGTTTTCAAAATTATGGAAAATTTGGAAAATTCATCGGAAAAGTGTTTTATATGGTTTATTACAAATAATAAACATGTTTACCAACTGATTTACGCCTCTAATTTTATATTTACACGAATTATACATAATTTTTAAATGTGGGTTTCATGCATTTTTTTTCTGGGCGACCAAGATTCGTTTTTTCAGTATTATCGAACTTGGGAAATACATGGTATTTATAAGGGTCACGAAAAAAATTAACTTTAAATAATTAATTAGCACCAAAATCATGTGTAAGGCTTTTAAAAAGTCATATGTTCGATCGCAATTAATAGTTTGATACATTTTTCTTATAAATTCAATATAAATTTTAAATGTGGGTTTTATGCATTTTTTTTCTGGGCGTCCAAGATTTGTTTCTCCAGTATTATCGAACTTGGGAAATACATGGTATTTATAAGGGTCACGAAAAAAATTAACTTTAAATAATTAATTAGCCACAAAATCATGATTAAAGCTTTTAAAAAGACATATGCTCGATCGTAATTAATAGTTTGATACATATTTCTTTTAAACTCAATATGAATTTTAAATGTGGGGGTTATGCATTTTTTTCTGGGCAACCACGATTCGTTTCTTTAGTATTATCGAACTTGGAAAATATGTGGTCTTTATAAGGGTTACAAAAAAAATTAATTTTAAATAATTGATTAGCACTGAAAACACGATTAAAGCTTTTAAAAGGTCATATGCTCGATCGTAATTAATAGTTTGATACATTTTTTTACATTAATGCCTTTGTGTAAGTGTCAATATTAAAACCAATATGGGCTCCATATAATATATTGATAAACAATATTAAAATCCCATTCAAAACTAATATAAGCTCAATATTGAAAATCAATATATGATTAATATAAATAAACAATATTTACTTCAAATTCAAAATTATTATTTAACCCACATTTAAAAATATTATTTAATTCATATAAAAAACAGAATTTAACTCATTGATAATATCTTAGCTAATACATAGCTAATCATTGATCCGCTCGATCGTAATTAACAGTTTGATATAAATTTTATATGAATTCAATATAAATTGTAAATATTATATTCACATTTATTTTTTCTTTATTATCGAACTTGGGAAATAAGTAACATTTACATTGGTCAAGAAAATAATCAAATTTAAATCATCAATTAACACCAAAAACATCAATAGCGACTCTTAAAAAACATATTTTTGATCAGAATTAATTAATTAAAGCTAAAATAATTAAATCCATTATTAAACGTGAAGATATGCAAAAATCTTCATTTTCGATTTTCGTCTCATTACTATAAATACCCTAGGGGAAGTTAAAAAAGCAATAAATAATTTAACTATATTGTATTTATTTATTAACTATATTATTTAACGACATTGTAAGTATGTCATCATTCAGTAAACAAAACAAAAATAAAATTATACAAGATTGTAGTAGTAAAAAAGTACCAGAATAATTAACAAACTTAAATAATGTCAGTACGTACCGCACTGAGAAAGAAAAATTAAACAAAATGTTTGATAAAAAAAAATCAAAACTTCGAATAAAATAAATGTTAAATAATGAAATTTTGTAGTTAGTCACATGACTTGCTTAAATTTGTTTTTTTCTAGTTTGGTATGTATTAATATTATTTAAATCTGTTATCATCTGTTAAATCTGTTAATATATCGATTTATATTTATAAATATAGACGTTTTAAAAATATTCTGAAATTGCACTACATACATGTATATGGTTTATGTAAGAACATCTGGTTTTTGAGAATGTCTCTTCTTTCTTTCATATAACCGATATTTGTATAAGGCTATCTCGCTTCGTGTACGGTCCTTCGTACGAATCGTTGTCCTCCGTCCTCGGTGTTTCTAGAAGACGACTACCTAACTATATGTCAGTTGTGGTCAAAATTATTTTATACGTATTTTATGAACTAATATTATATCATTGCACTTTTGTTTTAATTATTTATTCTTACATTTTTAATAGCAATTATTATTTATATTACTATACTAGTTTATTATTTACATTAATGTTATTTAAGAGTAAAAGTTTAATTAAAAAATTATTTAAAGGCAAAAGAAGTCTTCTTTAAATTTATTACTGTGTACATAGTAAATAATGTGATTATAAAAAATGCTTGTTGGTTAGTTCTTGAAGAAGGAAAGAATCCATAAGCCCATAACGTAGGATAAAATAAGTGAAATATTATTATGGTTTGTGAAGATAAAATTTATTTAATATAATTCAGCAAAAAAAATTAATAATAAATATAAACATTAAAAATTTTCTAAATGTAAACATATTTGATATAATGATAATTAATAGCAATTTTATTAATTTTGTTTTGAATATTTTCTAAGTAACGTTTCACTGATTATGCAATTTACTAACTCTCTCATATTGAAATAAATGAAAAGGGAGTTATGGATATACTTTACTGACTACTACACTGAATAAACTAATAACAACAAATTAATGAGCGTATACTTTGTAACATAAAATGATACAAAAACATAAAAATACATAAAAATATGTTAGAACCGCCCTTTGATTAACAATGCTCTAAGTCTACTGCATCAGCATCGAACAAAGCGCAGAACCTCGCATTTTTCAATAGTATGAAATTCGTTACGCAGTGCATTTAGCAATTCTTGTTGAATTTAGAAATTATTATAATATTAAAATATATCATAATATATAGTAAGTCTGGAAAAATGTGAATATTTAGTGAAAAATAAAATGATCTATAATATCAAATGATAATTGGCTAAAAAACATATTTTGTGAACAGTTTATAATTAAAATCAAGCGGTTAATTAACATAATTTTGAGTTTTATGTTTAAGGTACGTAAGTATATTCATTACTTATATTATATAAACAACATACATATTTAGTAAACAATGATGTATTTTATATATTCTAGATTGACTAAATTGAAATGGATGTAAAATCAGCTGTAATATAAAAACTATCACATAGCAAAAATGATTTGATTTAATAAAAGGTAATAAAATATAACAAACTTATTAAATGCAGACTTTTCAATAATTATTATCGCTTTTGAATATTTGATATTCGTATTTCCATCAACAGTTTTTTGTTTTAATTTAAAATTATAATTGTACTGTTTTAAATTAATGTTAAAATTTTATATTAACTGTATTTTTAATTATTTCAGATTTAACTGTGATCGAGTTCTAGAAAATAGTAGTTTTCAATAAACTACAATGCCAGAAATGTTTTTTTTTATTAAAAGCTAAGTAATTGAATTTATGATGAGTTATAAAATCAAATATTCCAGAAATATTGCTAAAAATATAATAAATTTTATCTTATTTCAGATGTAATCGTGATCGAATGCAAGAAAATGGTAAATAAAATGTGTGAAAATATCCAAATAATATAAGAATTTCCATCACTAATAAATACTTATAAATAGACAATTAAGGCGATAGGATTAACAAAGATGAGATTATGATTTACCATTAAGATCCTCCAAATTATTATAATGACTGAAATATTTTGATTGTTCTATATCTTATTATCATAATGTGTAAATTGTTAATAAAATTATTAAGATTCAATACATAAACTATTTAAAAATGTATGTATTCATTTAGAATAAATAAACTTTTATTATCAATGAGTTAAATACTGTTTTTCTATATAAACTAAATAATATTTTTAAATGTGGGTTAAATAATAATTTTGAATTTGGGGTAAATATTGTTTATTTATATTGAGCTTATATTGGTTTTCAATATTGGGCTTATATCAGTTTTGAATGGGATTTTAATATTGTTTATCAATATTGGTTTTATATGGGGCCTATATTGGTTTTAATATTGGATTTATATGGGAAAATGTTAACAGAATAATATTATAGCAATATTGGTAAACAATATAGAGCCCATAAAAAGTACAATATTGCGCCACGATTCGTTTCTACTAGGGAAATAAATAAAATTTTCCAATTTAACACTAAGATCTAATAATTGTAAGTACTAATTACTATTTTATTTTTTCTTTTCACTCCAATTCAATTGTTTTAGTTTTTAATTTTATTTTTAGTTTCCACTGAATGAAGGCTAGGATTATAGCCGAAACGTATGGATTTAAAATAAATTTTTGAAAGAAATTCATGTTTTTTATTGATGTTATGCCCGATTATTAGACTTTGTTAATACATATGTCAACATCAAATTCAGAATCATACAAAATATATATGTATATATATATATATATATATATATATATCAAACAAATATTTTCAATTCTTTGTTACATCGAACTCTTGATACAGAAATACTTTTAATATAAGATAGTCTATCAAAAAGGGTTAGTTTTATGATATAAAATTTTTATTTTTAATATTATTTATATTTTTTCATTAAATAACATTTCTCTTTCTTTCAACAAAGTCTTTCGAAAGGCCTTTAAAATGATATTTTCTGCGAAACCGTATTATATGATATTAAGGATTCTGAAAAAACGATTGCTTGTGAATAGGGCTTTCATGAATTTTTCAGTAAATATATCAAAAGATACAAATGTTTTCAAATATATTATTAGATTAAAACCTTATTAAAACCACAAAACAATTATAAACAAAAACTGTATGTAAGTATTGACATATATTGAGTGATGTTGTACAACATAACATTTCATTATCAATCGATGAAGGCTGAAAAAAATATTTAAATTATATGAAATAATTATAAACAAATTTTTAACATAATATTTGAATTTGACCGAAATTAAAAACTGCCTATTATCGGTTTAATTGTCTCAAATTTTTGATAAGATATAAAATAATGAATAATTGAACATAGAAAAAAGAAAAACATATATTAAATGATAATGTGACGTCAACAATAAAATATCTATTGAAAACAACAACATGAAATATCTATAAAAACAACTACACTTTTCTTTACTTTCAGTTAGTAAAAATCTTTCAAAGAATGAAAAATTTATCATTTATATTCTTAGCATTATGCTGTGCTTTGTCTTCACAAGTGGAATCAAATCGTAAGTAGAAGTTAGTTCAAATTCATAAATTCAAAATAATATTATATTCCATATAATTCAAGTAAGTTTTACTTTATTTTTATAAAATTATAAAGCAAAATGTTTGAGATAGATTCATTTTAAGTATTTTCTCTATTTTTATCAAATAAATTGAATGATTTTCATTCACCATTCATTTATGCACCACCAAGCTGAGTTTATATCTTCTAAATTTTAAACATTGAGTGTTGTAATGTTTTTCTTTTATATAATAGGTTTTAGCTTTATAAAACACTGCTTTATTTTGTAAGCAAATATTATTAATAAAACGTATATTATAATTCGGATTTAGGCTGAATCTCCTAAGGTCTTGTTGACAAATTTTTGTCTTTGAAATTATTCTAAAAAATCCATTAGACTCTTTATAATCATTATTAACTTCCAGTAAGATAAGTTATTGTAATCGCAAAAAAAATTGAAAATAAAAAATGTTATATATCTTTACGTTTCAAATGCATATGAACATTTTGGCGTACTTTAGAAAAAATGGATGTTTGTGTGTGCGGATACAAATTTTCGTCGACGATTTTGGAAACACCAATCAACCGATTTGAATAATTCAAAAAAACATTTGATTTGTATTGGTAAGGAGACTTGCTGATTATTTTTGGCGAAGGCAGGTTTTGCCGTTCCGAAGATACGGGACAAAAAGCGCCAAAAACGGTAACTGAGTTTCTAAGAGAACGAAGTGTCTGATTTTAATAATTAAAAGAACATTTTACTTGTATTGACAAGATGAAGTACTGATTAAATTTTTGGGAAGGCAGGTCCAGCGGTTATGGACTCTCAATAAAAATAAGTTAAAAAAATGTCATTTGGCGGTCAAAAATGTTTATTGGACATATGTACATCAAATTGTGTACACATTTTGTATACAGTTCCGTATCAAGATTATCAATTACGGTACGGGAAGTTCCAGAAATTTGCCTTAAGGTGCGATGACATGCACCCCTCTAGTTATTGCTTTAATATATAAAGCAAAGTTATATGCAAAAAGAAAATGATATTATTTTACTTTTCTCGTTCAATCAAGTCGTGAATTGAAATTGCGTTAGATAGTCAGCTAAATTAAAATATCTATAATTTGCATATAATATATTAAATTTTCAGATGCGAGTATTAGCCAAAAGCGTTTCCCAGAAGGTCGTATAGTAGGAGGTGAACAGGCAAGCATCTATGACTATGGTTGGCAGGTATCACTACAACGTTATGGAAGACACTTTTGTGGCGGTTCCTTAATATCAAGTCATTGGATTCTAACAGCAGCTCACTGCTTTTATGGGTACTTACTTCAAAAAATAATAGTTTGAATTATCTGAATAATCTAAAATACTTTATTTCAGCACCATGTTTCCTATTGGGTTTTCTGCACACGTTGGAAGTGACCGGGTGAACACCGGTGGAAGTTTTCGGACAATAGTATTTTGGATAATTCATCCAAAGTACGATTCACAAACAACGGATTACGATGTTTCCTTAGCTAGAGCTCTTTTCGGGTTCTTTCAAAATGGTGTGACTGTTCGACCTGCAAGATTAGTAGATGCAGGGGCCGAATTACCAGCTGGAGAAATGGTTACTGTTACTGGTTGGGGACAAACATCAGTAAGAACTAAACTTATGAGTAATGCAAAAAGAATATTAATATAAATTTTTAACAAAAATTTATTATTTGATTAGGAAAATGCTACTACACCGCCGCCGACAAATCTTCAAGCAGTCACTATTCCAGTTGTTGATAATGAAACATGCCAAGAGGAATTGGAGGGTGAAACAATTACAGACAAGTAAGTTAAAGAAAAAATCTCAATTTAATATTAAATTTTGATTAACATCTTGCTAATAATATATGACTTTAACTATTGTTTAAAATTTTTACATCACCAACTAACAATATTAGTACTAACAGCAATTGAGTCTGTGTAGTAGTAAGTGCTCGGGATACATAGAAATTTTAGAATGAGAATTTTTCTGATAATCAATCAAATTTATTACTATAAAGAAATTTTAATTGAAATGAGTGGCAATTTAACCCATTTGTGGCTAAGGATGAGTATTCTCCACCTTGGCAGTGTGCCACGAGTCTACTCGTCCTACTTTAAAAATATTCAACATGCAGGCCTTTAAATAAAAACTTGTTGTTTAAAATAAACATAAATATGAATATATAAACCAACGCAGTAGCAACGACATCATATACTTTGAGTCTGGCAGCGATTTGGTTAAAATCAAATTGTGAAAAAAATTAATACAAAATAGTCATTCAAAAGAGATGTTACTATCTATAACATTTATTAATTACAGTATGATATGTGCTGGAGAACTGGATGGTGGAAAAGATTCTTGTCAAGGAGATAGTGGTGGACCGCTAGTGGACAGTGATAAAGTACAAGTTGGAATTGTTTCTTGGGGAATAGGTTGCGCAAGACCGAATAAACCCGGTGTTTATACCCGAATTGCATCGCCAGAAATAAGAAATTTCATACAGAGAATTGCTAATGTTTGATAATAAAAATATAATTCAATAAATTACTATGTATTCAAATTTGCATGTATTTATATATTCATTATAAAATATGTTTTCAGGAATTACATGAGCAGCCTGTTGTCAGGCAACAGAGACAACGATTTTCACTTGGAAATATAGATAGCAATATGTTTCCAAGTGAAAACAGCCCTCATACGTCATTGCTGCACCAATTAAATGCATCACTATCACAATAATTGTAATAATAAATTCAGCACATAGAGATGAGGCAACTGTTTGGGTTGCCATCTATAATAAAACAAATGTAGTTCGTAAGAAATTCATCACAACAGCTCATAGATCCCATAAGTTCTGATCGCTGTTCAAATAAATTAAAAAACAAGGAATTACATAATTATGAAGTATTTTTAAATATCAAATGAGTCATGGCTAGTGATATAATTATAGTCTTTATTAAGAAGTATTTTATCGATTCTCTACTAATACTCAACTTTCTTTACTTTCATTCTGACAACAGTTTTACTTGTCAAATGCAATTGAAATGATTAGAAGCTATTATATAAATAATAAGTACTATTTACCCTTATCCTATAATGGTAAACTCTCATATACAGAACTCACCGTCAAGCCGAAGCAGAGTAATAGATAATAACTACTTATATAAAAAAGTTGCAAAATATTAAGAGCTTTCAAGTACAGCTCATAGATTTAGCCAAACTGTCATCATTTTTTATTATTGTGGCTAAATTTAATTATTTTTCTTCATTTAAACTTTGATACTGTAAACGTAAATAACATTTCTAAGAACACAGTCAAAAATAATAATGCAATTGCCTCACATTTTCAAGAATTAAGACTTTTTGTTAAACTATGAATTTTTAAATATTCTATAAATTTTCATAACTTATCGACCTCCTTTAACAAAATGAACCTAAGTGTTGAAAAGTTTCATCAAAAATTTTCGCATTTAATCTACTCGACAAAAAAAAATAAACAGACATAAAATTAACACAATTTATTCAAGTGAATTTACGTGCATATTCAAAATCATAACAAGTTAATAATCAAAATGTGGACACTTATTTTCTGTAATTTTGGTTTTCTTTGAAATTTGCAATTTGCAACAATAGGTACTTTTATCTTTTCTCTACAGTTGTTTCACTGTTCTAGATTAACCGAAGAAAACATTCAGGCTTAATTTCTTAAGAATTTCTGATTATTTCTTATATATTTATTTTAGTTGCAGTATGTTAGTCAAGTCTGTCAAAATATAAGTTTATTTTAAATTTGCTGTATGATTTGTTTCTGGATCATTTGAAATATTCACAGTGCAACAAATGAATGATGAGGAAAACAAAAATCAAATCTGGTTTTATTCACTATCCATTGCATAAAAAGCTTTAAAATGCATGCGTTAAATGTATAATTAAATGTACAGTTTAGCTTATAGAAATTATTTTTGTATTTCTGATTGCTAAATTAAAGTGAAATAAAAAAAAAATTAAATGTATCACATACTCAACAATGTTAATTATGATGTGAAATACGTCGATAAGATTATAGAAAATAAATAACAAACTTGACAAATAAACTAAAGAATTCCTGTTATGAATAAATAAATTTTAATGAGCCCAACTTTTCGGAAAATTGCACATTTAAAAAGTTGATTGATAAAATCCATGTTATTTTCGTTTATGATTGTTTTGAATAATATATTGTTATATGACGTTCAACATTGTTATTCTGCATAAGATATAAAGGTATACTATTTTAAAATAGTTGTAGATAGCAAAAGTCAATTTAGGGACGAACAATTTATAATGAAGCTTGTTTTGCTGTTGTTTATCGCAATATGTGCTATTTCGAGGACATACACTAAAAGAAATCGTAAGTAATCGTAATTAATTAAATTTAAAGTCATTAACAAATTGTATATTTTATAATGTCAGTAATGAAATACTATTAGTATCGATTATAATTTCTTATGTAAATACCATACTAACTCCTATTTCCTTCTGGGTATTAAGGTACTTACATTATTTTATAAAAATGTTATATGAGAATAACTATGTCTTGAAATTAAACATTATTAGAGCAAAAATCCAGAAAAATATTTATGATAAAATTCGTATTTTAAGGAACTATTTGATAATATATGATTGATGCTTGGAAAAAACTATTTCTTGCAGACGAATCGTAGATATAAATTATATATTAGTACTAATTTATTTAATTATCTGAAAATACTACTTTATTTATTTATACTTACAACTTTTCAATGAAACATTAACTAATTTATATTCAATGTTTATATTATACCCTGTGTATAACTATACACCTGAATTTCAGTCATCCTCAAATTAGAATAGTAGAGTATTTTATAAAAAAAATATTGTTATGAATTTTTTTTTAAATATATTTTTAACAATTACAATTTATTTTAATAATATCAGTTTTGAGTGGAAATTCAAGAGATAATGGTCAGATCGATGATGGGCGCATTATAGGAGGACAAGCAGTAAATATTGCCGATGTTGGTTGGCAGGTTTCTATTCAAGAAGATGGATATCATTTTTGTGGTGGTTCGATTTTATCTGACAGATGGATTGTCACAGCTGGGATATGTTTCGCAAGGTATTCGTAAATTCTGTCACAAATTAAAATCTAGATAAATTTATTTCCAATATGGCAAGAATTTTATTTTTTTCAATAAAAAATTGTGACACATTGAGTCATTCGTCAAATTTAATTAATACATTATACAATTTTATCAACTCGCATTAAGGCACTGGATATAGAAAGAAAATCACTGGTTCTATAGCAAGGATGAGCAACCCACGGCCCGCCGGATGTTTTTTTGCGGCCCGACAAGCATTTCTCAACAACAGATTATTTTTCTAGATATTTTATCAAATACGGTTGTAAAGGCTAATTTTGTCGTCAGCCAAATTCTGGTAAAAGCTGTTGTTCGAAGAAATAGCATTTCTTGATAAAATAAATATTAATTTATTTAAATGTTAGTTTGACAAGCTTCAATGTTGCAAGAAAAATTGAGAACTTGTCCGAGGACATAGCAACAACGCATTTCTAAATTTAAAATGATTAAATAAGTAAATCTTATAAAGTTGCGAGGAATCATCGTAAACTTAGAGACTTCCTGACAATTTAGATCGTGAATATGGCGATTTTCAATACTAAAGTACGTTAGCTCAATAGTGATGCAATGCTTAAAGGAGTATACGACTCAAATGGCGAATTACAATTGTTTTTGGATATGAAATAATAAATAAAGTACTTTCGTCATTTTAGTAATGAAGAATAATATCTTTTGCAGAATCTTGTGTTTCGATTTTCATATTCAAAGAAATAAAATGTGAAATAATTTTAATTGTGATTCCAAATGTTCAAAGCTAACAAGACAGCTGTTTTCATGTAAATGTTTTCTTCGCCATTTAACATGCAAAATAATACAGATATTAAAAATGCATTTTTTCAGTAAACATCGAATTTTTTTATAAATCTTATGTAGCCCTGAGAAATCTTCGCTTTTGAAAAAAAATGCAAATCGAATTATGATATTTTTTTTTGGAAGTACGTATTTGCGCGAACAATTACACTTTGGAACTTACAATTACACAAAGAAAAGTCGCTGAATAATAATTAATTCATTCAGAAAAAAATGTGGATTGAAGATTGTGCCAGCTTTGCAATATTTTGTGCCCCAATTTTGACCATAGATTTATCTTCAGCGGTAAAAGGTACATTGGAAAACATATGGAACACACCCAATCCAGACATCACTTTTTTGTTAATTTCAACCATGAAATTCATAAAAAATTGCCACCTATCAAAATTGAGTAAAACATATCAAAGCTGCATACGCATTGCTACTTTCCGCATTAAAAAAATTAAAATAAAGAAAAAAATCTAAAAAAACGGCTGATATTGATCAGCTTATATAAAAAAACAGTGCCATTTTATTTATTAAAGTTTTCAAGAAAAATTGTTTTTCTTATAAATATTATTTGTTTTCATTTTGTATTACATTATTATACTTTGTTCAATTTTATATTTTTGTTATTGTCTTGTGGCAATTTTGTAATTTTGTTGCAATTACATTATTCCCGTGCTCAGTCAATAAATCTTTTAAATTAACTTTAGATCAGACTTTTGAGTTTATGAGAAAGCTTCAATTTTATTAAAAAATTGCAATTTATTTTTATCATGGCTTGAACGGCCGTAACATTTTTTTTTAAATTTTGTTCTTTATTTTAATTTTTTTATGCGGAATGGAAAACTACACATAACTCCAAATTTTCATTATTTTATAATAGTCATTTTAGTAGTCCAATCATTTTTATATAGCTCGGTATTCGATCAATTAACTATTATCGCCCTTTCTGTGAACGTTTTTAATTGAAATTTGATTAAGATTTTTCTGAGCTTATAAAAAAACTTAAATTTATCCGCTCTAACCGCTGCAACATTTTAAAAATGGCAAGGAAATGGTTACCCCCGATTGCTAACTGATTTGCAGGCTTATCCTATTGTACCATACAAATATTTCATAAGAAGTACATAGTTTTTGAATGTCTCACAAAAAGAGCTATTATAGCAAAAAAAATAGAAATTAAATTTTAAAATCAGGAGATAAAACTTGATTTTTTTTCAGAGTATAAGATAATTACAATATTTAACATATTTATACAATATTCACAGTTTTTAAGCGTTGCAGTAGGCAAATTATCAATGAAATAATATTATAATTATACATTCAGAATTAGTTAGTCATTTCTTATACTAATGATTTTCTAACTAGCTGTAAGTGGAATTCTGTCTTAAGGCAATTAGGGCATCGTGCCTTAAGGCAAATTGCTGGAACTTCCCGTACCAAAAATTATTATTTTTTTTTAAAACGATTAACATTTTTGAAAAAAAATTACTTTGAAAAAATAAGATTTTTGAGAAACTATAAATTGGACAAAAAATTAGTTTTTTTTGAAAAAAAAAATTTAAAAAAAATTTTTTTTCTTAATTTTTTTTTTTTTTTGAAAAAAATTTTTTTTTTCTTTATTTTGACATATTGTGGAAGATCTGAACTTTTTTTTCAAAGCAATCGTACTGCTTTAACTACATAGGGACAAAATATAAAGCGCGTAAGCGCCGCGTCGCTGTCTAACGCATAAGCATTGGTACGGAACCGATAGGAATGTTAACAAAATGTATACTTATTGTTAAAATCTCTATAAAATGTCTGATAATTTGATGTGCATATGTCTAATGATCATTTTTGACCGCCAAATGGCTCATTTTTTTACTTTTTCCTCTGTATCTCCGAAACCACTGGACCTACCTTCATGAAAGTTGTATCGATTCTTCATCAATACAAATAAAATGTTTTTTGAATTATTAAAATCGGACGCTCCGTTCTCTTAAAAACTGAGTTACCGTTTTTGGAACTTTTTGCCCCGTATCTTCGGAACGGCTTGACCTGCCTTTGCCAAAAACTAATCAGCACGTCTCCTTATCAATACGGATCGAATGTTTTTTGAATTATTCAAATCGGTTGATCCGTGCTCCCGAAATCGTCGACGAAAATTTGTATCCGCACATACATACACACACATACATACATACATACACACACACACACACATACACACACACACACACATACATCCATTTTTTTCTAAGGTATGCCAAAATGTTCAGAAACCTCTGAAACGTAAAGATATATAAAAATTTTCATTTTCGATTTTTTTGCGATTACTATAACTTGCCCTACGGGAAGTTAAAAATATATTCTTGATCGGGTCAGCTAGTATATATATATATATATATATATATATACATATATATATATATATATATATATATATATATATATAAATTACGTGCGGCCCGCCATAAAATTTGAAAATTTAAATTGGCCCGTGGGTTAAAAAGGTTGCTCGCCCTTGTTCTATAGCATATTAATTTTCGTAACACCTAATTTAACACAGGGTATAATTCAATTATTTTTAATATTTTATATTGTTCTTAACATTCATCTGACTTCATATTTTTGCTCAATTCTAAAGTGATATTCAAATGATGAGCCGACTCTGCCGCAAAATAGACCAATGTTATGACAAAGCTATGTAAAGTGGCAATTCTCATACAAAATGGTACTAAATAAGAGAAATTCAGTAAAATAACCTTACCGAACAACGCAGAAATTACATAACATGCATAATATATGAGTGATGTTGCATTTTATGTATGAAGCGCCTGATTTCACAGCGAATACATGGCATTTTGACAGTATTTAGTACCATTTTAGTGTCAAAATCGGCCCCTAAATTGACATTAGTCGTATATTATTTATTTTGGTATAGTCTAATTTTAAATCATATGAAAATTGATAATTAGATAATTTACTCAACTTGGGTATGATTTGTTCAAATGATATAATTTTTAGTATTATGCACTCAAAAGTTTCTCTCAAAGTCGTCATATTTGATTTGTAAAATTAATACCAACTCCCATATTATTTGGATTTATGCGCTGTTTTCGCTGTACCAAAGATAAAATTCAATTTGTGTAGAACATCATAATACTTAAATTTTTATGGTTTGGGTGATTATTTTTAAAATTGAAGTAAATATTCAATTACATTAAAATAAGTTGAAAATGATATTTCATTGCTTTTGAATAAATATTCATAAAGGAATTATTGAAATTTTTGAATAAATATTTTAATATAATAACTTCATTTTCTAGATTTTTTTTATTCGAGAGTAATACTATATGTAACTATTATCATATTGCAGAGATATTGTCCTAAGTAGGATTTCAGTGAGAGCCGGTAGCAGTAAATTAACTAGTGGTGGCACAGTAAAAAGATTAGAAGCTTTTTTTGTTCATCCACAATACAACCCACAAACACAAGATAATGATGCTGCCGTTGTTCGTCTTTCATCACCTTTGAGTATAAATAGTGGATCAATCCGGCCCATAAAACTAGTCAATTCTGGTGTAGAATTAAGAGGAGGCACCAAGGTTACAGTTTCTGGATGGGGTAGACTCACGGTAAATATGATCGAAGACTTATAAAATATTATTTATTTGAAATTAAATTATATTAGCGTTTGAAGAGAAAAATGCATAGATTGCTTTTTATGCGTAGAGAAATATATACACCAAGAATTGCATTCATAAGGTCAATTAAATTACAACCGTTACCAAAGCAAGTTCTTACAGGAAATCATTTCTCAATTTCTGATGTTATTTAATATCATTCTTTTTGTCCATTTATTAAGAGCATGATATAAATATAATCATACTTGTAGCTGAAATACTGATTGCTTTTTAGAAAAGGATTTTTTTAAAATTGTAGGAATCACCATCAGAGCTTTCTCCAACACTCCAGGGAGCAACAATAACTGTTATTGACAATCCAACGTGCCAAAGATATTATGTCGCAGATTACGTCATCACAGACAAGTAAATAAAATAAGTAAATTTGTTTTAATTTTTTTTTTGAAATCGACTGAATATATCATGAATATTCTACAATATGTTCTTGGGGTTCTATTCTTAAATTGGATAACTGCAGATCTAATACATAGTACCAAACTGTATTTGCAACATTGCGTATTTTTTCATTTTCCTATAAAGTGAGTTAAAAAGTTATTAGAATTTATGACTAGTGGTTTATGAATTTTGGGTTAGGAACATGAGAATACATATCAATAACTGATAGAATTCACAAACGTCTTTAATATTTAATTAATTCAAATAATGCCCAAAATTCTTTATAAAATTGAAAACAATTCCATCTTAAATTCTGATAGCTATCAGACCTTGTAGTCAATACATATCGACAGCAGACAAATTTGTCAATGCCTTTAATGAGTGGTCTTCAAACAAGTATTTTTCATATTTTCTAACTGTTGAATTTGTTTTAGTATGATGTGTGCAGGATTCATTGAAGGAGGAAAAGGTCCATGCCAAGGAGACACCGGTGGTCCATTAGTCGAAGGCAACAAAACCTTAGTAGGAATTATATCATGGGCATTAGGTTGCGCAAGACCAGCAAGTCCAGGTGTTTACACACGTTTAGCTTCTACCAGCGTCAGAAATTTTATTCGAAGTGTGACCGGCCTCTGATGTGATAAATAATTCATAAATATTCGAAAAAATTATATAAATAAATTATGTAAAGATAAAATATAATTGAAAATAAAATTAATAACACATTGAAAATTGAATAAATGTTATAGAAATCCCTTGTTCTAATTTATAAAATAAATTATTGAAGCATTACCAACTTCTCAATACAACTTGTTTATAGAAAAGCAAAAGGCATCCTCGATTAAAATGAACTCTAAGCGTGAAGAACAAGCGGATACTTTACTTGACACTAATAATACCGTTACTGGCATACGCCGCTCCAGCATAGAACGCGACGACTAAGACTAACTTACGGAAATTACAGACATTACAAAATAAGACACCACGACTCGTACTCAACAAAATAAGGAACCCACTGACTAGACATTACTTCTTTCCAAAATACATACCCAAACAGACGGACGTACCGACAATACTCGACCATATAAAAAAGTTCACCGAAATTTTTTATCTAAAATGTGGGGATCATCTTAATACTAACAACGCGGGTCTCGGGCAGTTTACGAGGGACGTAATTTGGTATGGCAATCACGCCATGCCAAACTATATACTGATCGACCCATAGCGGCAAATGATACTTGGCTTGACACAGATCTTTCTTCAGTGCGAATAAATCTATTATTTTGTTTTTCTTTTTTTTGTATAATTATGTATTATTATAAATAGTGCTATGTAATTTTTTTTAGAGGATAATTTTTCTTTCCTCTTTTTTGTCACACTATTATGAACTTATTTTTAATTTTCAGAATTAATTATTGTTTGCAAAATCATATCCAATGATGGTTACTATACCTACGGGTAAAAAAACCATATTAAAAAATGCAATGTACATACTTACGTTTATTGAAATATATATGTTTTTGACTTGACTTGACTTAAAATGAACTCAGAAATCTTGGAAGCATTTGATTATTAGTAAACTTAATTTGGAAGAATATTACAGCTGTAATTCCTAAAATCTTTAAGATATTTTTCGCATAGTTTTCAATCTATTTTTAAAAAAAATTGTATATAACTATGAAACAAATAAAGTGCTCAGAATCGGCATAAAAAGTGTTCGACAGCTTTTAAATGAAAGCAAATGCAATAAAATGACAGTAAGTGAGAAATAAACACAATCAATGAATTCACCTGAAATTATTATTTGTGTTTTTATTTGAGCAACTTTTATTTGATATTTTACGCTTTCTTAATATATTTTGAATAATATCTAATACGCATTGTTGTGTCCCATCCAGCAACAATATGTAGGTTCTTCCTGCTGCTAAACAAAGCTGTTACCAATCTGTGGAAGCTGATCAGTTAAACAGACGAAAATATTTGATGTATTTATTCATTTCATGATTCCTTTATCTAACTTCAACAACTGAATAATTGAGTATGATTAACTAAAATATGACTCAATTGAAAACTAAAGTACTCAGTCGTACTTATGCTCATGATTGACCACTGAAGATTGAGTATTGACTGACTTTATGAAAACTAAATCACGACTGAGCTGGTGAATGCCGTCATTCACCGACGTCTTGTATGTGCGTGCTTCAGGGTGACTTTGAAATCCTAGATAACATTACTTTACTACTTCTTCCATGTCGTTGTATAATGCAACACAATATATGAGTAAGTTGTTATTGCGTATTTTGTGTCTTGGAAAGGAATTGAACAACAACTGGGCTGGGATATCTCGAACTTTCAATGTTGTAGCTATTAGTAATTCACTAGATCTTTGTAGTTTAAACTCTGACTGTTACTGTGTTTTATAATATTATTTTTAATTATTATGAATGGGTGCATACCCCTTACAGCACATATCAAACAAAATATAAAATCGTTTTGAGTAATGCACATATTTGAAATATACAGAAATCTAGCAAATTAGATCTTTCTTTTAAAAAATTACTTAGCCTAAATTACCACATTTTTTAAATGGAAACTATTAATACGATTAGGCTTCGTAGTTTAAACTCTGACCGTTACAGTGTTTTATAATATTATTTATAATTATTACGAATGGGTGCATACCCCTTACAGCACATATCAAATAAAATATAAAATCGTTTTGAGTAATGCACATATTTGAAATATACGAAAATCTAGCAAATTAGATCTTTCTTTAAAAAAATTGCTTAGCTTAAATTGCCACATTTTCAAATGGAAACTATTAATACGATTAGGCTTAACTTAAAACAAATATTCCATCATTTTTGGTATAAGTTTGCATTATTTTTAAATGGGACAATTTTGAAATGTGCAAAACAATTCACAAACTTTTTAATCATCAAAATTGTGAGCTGAATTAAACTACAATGTGTGATTCTTTGCGTACATAATTTGAAGAACGAATGACTATTTTAAATTATTTACACTAATTATGAATTTGGTTTTCAGCAGATGCATACAAATCAAGGTTTTCCGCAATAAGGCAAAAATTATTAGCAAACTTATTGCATATCGATTCATTGGATCAATAATTAAATAAAAAATACGTGTAACTTCAAAGCAAATTTTTTGAAAGTTTCTATAATACTAGCGCATATGTCTCTTTGTTCATAGTTAAATGTGTAAAATTGAAAATGAGTAAATATACCCTTGAATATACTATTGTTTGTGTTATTTTATCATAAATCAAATATAAAGGTTGTATAAGTGTATTTATCACTGACAATTTTTGAATCTAGAAGGTGAGACAGTGCGCTCATTGTTTTAAAAAGATAGAACATATAGATAACGACTGAATTGAACTGGTAAGTAATTGGATGTTAAAAAAAATCATAGAAAATAGATTTATTTACACAAATTACAGTTTTATAATGTATGATAGAATTAGGTAAATACGGTTTGAATGTTTTGCAAAATATGCCGACGTAATTTAGTTTTATTTGTAAAATAGAGAAACGGAACGTCTGCAAAAAATATTTTTGTATATGTGGAATATTGCTTGTTAATCATTTATAGAGTTTGGGATTCGATATAAAACAGCAACAGAGAAGATTTGATAAATTATAATGAGAGAGACTACATTCAAAATTTGTATAATCATCAATATTAATTAAAATTAATTGTATTGCATATGCAATTTGTATCGTGTAAAATTCAATATCAATTATGCAAAGTCCTTGTTTCCTACGATTACGACAAATTGAATAAACTTGCGACCATAAAGATAAGGAAGGTACAAATAAACATTAAAAATTATGTCAAGATGAGAATATTTAAATGTGTCAATAAGGGTATATATACAACCGGCCAAAAGATATATATGTTTTTATCGGTAAATGAAAATGAGCAGTTTTGCAATCATTTTGGTTATTATTTGCGCTGTACTAACTATGGGTATTGAGAGCATACGTGATTTGAATGCTAATACTCTTTACACAATTTTAATTTGCAGTTTGAATTTAATCATTTTCAGCCAGGTTTAAAAACGTCAATGTATATTCTGGTCGTATAGTGGGTGGTGTGAAAGTCGACATTAAAGACTATGGATGGCAAATTTCGTTCGAACACGATAGACAACATTTTTGCAGTGGATCTATCATAACCGACAGCATCATTATTTCTGCAGCACACTGCTTTGATTGGTATAAAATATACAAAAATAAGCTCAGTGAATAATTAAAGTCAGTACCAAGTTATTTTCTGTAAAAAAATTAAATTTGTGACGCAGGAATATCGAAGCCAAAGATGTCCAAATTAGAGCTGGCAGTAGCAAAATCCACAATGGAGGAGTTGTAGTGCCAGTTGAAAGATGGGTAATTCATCCTCAATACAGTAGACAAAATCAAGATAAAGATGTAGCAATTGTTTTTCTAAAAACAGCTTTGGAAATGAATAGTAATTCAATTCGCACGATTCAAATTATTGATAAAAACATTTCAGTTCCAAATGATTCAAATGTTACAGTTACCGGATGGGGATACGTAGAGGTAAAAATATGTGCTACATTAATTTATGAATGTTTATTAAAAATTAATTTGGATTAAAATGTAATTCATCAGGAAGATGTACAAGTTTTTTCGGAAAACCTTCGCGGCGTTTCTATACCAGTGATTGACTTTTCTTTCTGTAAACTATTGTATGCTGCTCGTTATACATTGACAGAACAGTAAGTATATAATTATAGTCGTTTTTCTGTTACATTTTACTCATTAATTTTTAAATTAATAATATTTCTTTAATTTTATTGCAAAATTAATCCCAAAAAATCTAAATATTTGCTACACATTGATGACTATTTCCTGCATTCTATTTAATTTAAATCCAAATAACTTCCATTATAATTTTTCAAAGACAATACTATGGCGTTTTATGATCAAGAAGTTGATCATAAAATGATTTTGAATTTTATTTTCAAATGGACAAACTGAAAATCAATCTATTAAATTTGTTCGAAGTGTTATCTAATAATTGTTATTTGCAATACTTTATATGAAAAATATTTTAGCATGCTTTGTGCTGGATTTCTTGACGGAGAAAAGGATTCGTGCCAAGGAGACAGCGGCGGCCCACTTGTCGATGAAAATAATACTCTTGTTGGTATCGTATCTTGGGGCGACGGTTGTGCAAGGGCGGTCAGTCCCGGAGTATACACACGAATTTCATCACCAATTGTTAGAGATTTTATCAGTAAACATGTTAAAATTTAAAAATCAGAGCAGTTCATAAAATAAATATAAAAAATCATTAATATAATTGTAAAAAAATTATTCATGTATATATATAAAGGTAACTCCCCTATACCGTGTTATACGGGACAAAAGACTATAGAACAAGCAGAAGGGTTACCGTCCAAGAATTCCAAAAGGCACAAGAAGAAGTAATGAGAAGTAATGCACATTAAATGAATCATATATTTTGTTTTTACAAGAAACGGATAGAACATCCAACATGATCGTTTCGTTTTTGGCAAGATATACTCATCCACTGAGAATTAATATAACATAATTTCATGCTCTATTTTTGCAAAAAAAGAATATTTTTGATTACTTGCTTTTAGTAAAAAGATACCTTTGTTAAAATGTTGCGTTCATTTTATTTGAAAAATCTTTGTTTAAGAAATACGGCTAACTACGCAGACCTGTTTTTCGATAGAACTGCGCTTGAATAAAAAATATTAAATTAGTTATCTTGTGCACTAGTTACATTACATTCATTGAGCTATTTTACTAATTTTAGATCAGGTAAAGTTTGATTTTCATAGGTTTTAGTTTAGTATGCAACATCGATTTAACGCCTAATTCCCTTTCCTCAAATTTGAAGCCGCGCACTAGTTTGGAAAGAGTTTCCAATGTGATCTATAAGATCTATTGCAATAGTTGCGATTGTACCTATATTGGCGAAACAGGACAGAACCTTATTAAACGTTTAAAACAACAAGACAATAACTCAAAATACAAAAATCAAGGACAAACGACGATCACAGAATATTTAAAACTAAACAACCATACGTTCAATTTTTATGACGCACAGGTTCTTTATCATCAGTCGTAAGTCTCACAAAGACGCTTTTCAAAATCAGCTTTTATTTTCTTAGACAAACTAAGTATTAATAAGCGAACTGATACTAGCTTTCCCTGCAAAAATTACCAATATGTTCTGAATCTTGTTTCTCAATTTGTATCGAATAATTAGCACAACACTATGTACACACTAGCATATATCGCTGAACTATGTATTGCAAACACGCGCTTCTAAGTTTTTAGAAAAACAGGTCTAGCGGTTTCGGAGATGCCAAAAAAAGTAAAAAAAATACTTGGCGGTCAAAAATGATCATTAGACATATGTTCATCAAATTATTAGATATTTCATGAATATTTTAAAAATGAGTATTAATTTTCTTATATTTTTTTGGGTTTTGTATCAAGATTTTTAATTTTTAAAGTTCACTTGTACGGTTCAAACAAAAATCAAAATTTTCAGATTTTTTATTTCAAAAATTTTTCAAAAATGAACAAAGTTTTATACTTTAAATATAAATTTTAAAATTATAATTTATTTTGAAAATGTATATATTTCATATGCGTCATTCTAATCGTGAGAAATATATCCTAGTGGTGTTTGGCATCGTGCTGCCTTAATAACTTAATAAGATTAATAACAATTGTTTTAAAATTTGTTAGTTTTTGAATTCATTTCAAAGTTTCTGAAATTTAAGGATTACTGTTAATATATTTATGATTCTTTCAACACTGGCATATTATTAATTATAATTTGAGCTTTCATCAAAATAATTTATATAAGTGGTGTTTGGTAGGTACTATTTTACTATGCACGATCCATAATAATTGCAAGATGATTGAACTATTAAAATAGAAATCATATAAAATCTTTTAAAAAAAAAAAACCAATGAAGATAGAATTTACTAATTCAATATCAAATATATTACTGGCGTTTTTGTTTTATGGAGAAATTGTAACTACTTATGTTATTTAAAAAACTGTACATAGTTACTAACTATTAGGCTCACAAAAGTAAATTATTCTTGAAATAGGCACTTTAGCAAGTCGACTTAACAAAATTAAAAGAAATACTTGTGCGATTCTATCATTTATATGTAGAAAGTATTTCCCAAAACATCTTATTTTTACATCAATAAGTCTATTTTTGTTGTAATTATCATATAAAGCGGTTATTTATACTTGTATACATGTAATTATATACAGCTTAATGAACTGTGAAAAATTACCCTAGCTACAGAATAATTGCGGTTCATGGTAAAAACTATATGTAGGCAATATTTTGTTATTTTACAAATTTCAATAATGTGTTTTTTACTGATAAAATCAAAAAGACGTAAGTAAATATTTTTACAGATATTTTATATTATGTCGAAATATTTCTGTATAAAAAGGGAATAATTTCATACAATGGCAGTCAGAAATAATAGGAATAGAACAAGATATAGCCCAAAATGAAGTGTTTATTGGTCATATTGGTTTCAGTAAGCGCTATTTTCGCCGGGCGTCTTCAATCTAAAAGTAAGTAAATTAGAGTAAAAATAATAATATATTTAATAAAAGAAATTATGTCATTCCTATAAAACAAATTTGTTTCTTTTTTGTTAATGGTCTTCTTAAAATGCTCAGGTAACCATGTAATAATATTAGTAAAATTTAGAGACCAAAAGATTTACTATTGAAAAATTGGGCTCACTCTGGTTATCACAGATCTGATCTTGCAGTTTTGTTGCAAGCTTTGTTTGATGTTAACAATACTTTATTTAAAATGAATTAGAAGTAGATAAATACAGTATTGTTTTTAGATAAACATATCAAAACTAAATCCGTCGATCGAATTGTTGGAGGACAAGAAGTTAGTATCAACGATTTCGGTTGGCAAGTTGCTCTTGAACAAAACGGCCAACTTTTCTGTGGTGGTTCAATAATTAGCGAGCAATGGATTCTTTCGAGCGCACAATGTTTTGATAGGTAGGTATGACACAAATTCTATTTATAATTCGTTTGCTATTATGTTGATATCTTTTCTAATGAAATCTAGAAATAGAAATTAAAATTGTGAACAGAAATGTGAATAATACATAAAATAGTGGCAAGAAAAACATTTACAGGCAT